AAATTTTAAATTTCAAAATATTTGACAAATGTAATAAATACTGAAAATTGTTATTTGCTTGTTCCAGGCACATGTGGTCTCAGCTTTTGAGCAATCACTGTCCAATATGACTCAGAGATTGCAGCAACTCACAGCTACAGCCGAAAAAAAGGTAAAAACACTATAAAAATAATTATTTAATTAATTATTTATTATTCACACGTTCGATACTCGATGTACAATGTTTTTGTCACAAAAAAATTTTTCTTTATCGGCGACTCTTCAGGATTCTGAGCTTCAGGAACTACGAGAAACGATCGAGAGACTGCGCAAGCAGAGTGCCGAAGCTGGATTGAACAACGGTCCAACTGCGAACAGTGGTCGGCGTCATACTTTAGGTGACTCCGAATCCGGTACCACCGGCTGCACCGGCAGTAGCAGTAGCAACAATCATCAAGGCGCATCAATGGCAAGACAGCTATCCGCGGATAGCGTGACGTCTCTGAACTCGTTAAGCAGCGCCTGCTCGGCCAGCAGCAGTCATCATAAAAAGAAGGGCTGGCTACGGAGCTCCTTCTCCAAGGCCTTCTCGAGGTCGCGCAAAAACCGGCATGGTTCGGTTTCTGACGCGGAGGACTGCAAGGAGAGCCCTGGTGGTGATCTGAGCGCTCCCAACAGTCCTAGACTGCCAACCGCATCCAAACACGAGTCTTCGAGAGCACAAACCGTGAGGAGCAACGGTCAGAAATCTCCCGATCATGAGAATCCTTTGTCTGGAAGCAAGAGCAGCTCAGCATTGTACAAGAAAGAGGATGAAGATGTGGATGAATTGAAGAAACAATTGAGGGAGAAGGATTTAGTGCTCACAGATATCAGATTGGAAGCATTATCTTCAGCACATCAGCTGGAGTCTTTAAAGGACACGGTCATCAAGATGAGGGTGAATTTTTATTTAAAAAAGAAATTCATACATTTTTCAATTTAAATAAGTTATCAATTTCGAGAAGCTGAACGATTCAGGTTTAACATTTCAAATTTTTTATTTAGAGAAAGAGCACATATGATTTTTATATCTCTGAGAAAATGATTTATTTATATGAATTTATCATTTTTCTTTACAGTACGAGATGCTAAACTTGAAGCAGAATAATGAGCGTCTCCAACGACTAGTGACCTCAAAGTCGCTCACTTCCTCGCAGTCCTCTCTACCCAGTGACCCAGATCGACGCTTCAGCATGACTGAGGTGGCGTCGAGTGTCGCAGCATTGTCGAACGGCGACGTCAGTTCCACGGCCGATCAACTGGAAGATCTTAACGTCCCGGTCGAACACTCCGTTGTGCCATCGAGCGCAACAACTACAGAACCAGTTCTCGAGCAAGACACTGACGGCAAGAGAATCAATGTGGCCGTTTATCTCGGCAGTGAGCGAAATTTTAACTATAATTTGATTACCGGGAGCTGCGCCGATGGCACCATAGGCGAGCCACCACATTGCGTAATTGCCAATGTGTGCATCAGCAATAAAACCAGCTGGGACGCACTGGATTCTATGGTGAGACGTTGCTTCAAGGAGTACGTTTCCCGAGTGGACCCTGTGACGAATCTGGGTCTTGGCGTCGAATGTGTCGCCGCGTATCATCTCGGAGAAGCTTCCAGGTGCGTGTTTAATTAAAAAATATTAAAATAGTTTCAAAGGTACCTCTACTTACTTATACAACTTTAAATATGCAATAGATACATTTTAAATTCTATGGGTGCGCTTCCTATTAAGATTTGTCTATTTTATCACCATCTAAAATAATTAAAACTTTTTTCTTTACTTTACAGATGCACTACTGATTCTCAGCATCCTGAGTTATTACCCTGCGGCTATCTAGTCGGCCACGTGAAAACTATTTATCTAGTGCTGTCAGGTTATTCCTGGCTAGCGGTGGATACCTTGATACCGCGTTCCATCGTTCAGCGACTGATCTCTCTTCTGACGGAACATCGTAGAGTGATTTTATGCGGTCCAAGTGGTACAGGGAAGAGTTACTTAGCTGGAAAACTGGCGCACGCTCTAGTAGATACTGACAATGACACGAAGGATGCTGCTGCCGTTGCGACTTTCAATGTCGATCATAAGTCCAGCAAGGAATTGCGCCAGTATCTCGCGCACATCGCTGAAAGGTGCGATTCGAACGCCGCTGATGAACTACCTAGGGTGATTATTTTGGAAAACCTTCAACACGCAGCATCTCTGGGCGAACTCTTCAGCGGACTCTTAGGAACTAGACATTCATCGTGTCCTGCTATTATCGGTACCATGAGTCAGACCACTTGTAGTACTACCAACTTGCAGTTGCATCATAATTTCAGGTACTTTCATTTTTGTGAATACATTTAATCTATAATTTTAATGCAATATACCTGCATATAACCCAACAACCGAGAATGAGTTGAAATAAATTGAAATGGATTCAGATTTTCAGAAATATTGAAATATTTCACGAATGTTAAAATGAATGCTTTTCAATCCTGAATGCATTTTTATTCATTTATAGGAATTGCATAGAGCATATCTCTATGCCTTTCAATCTAAAAATAATATTAGCTTTTTCTGTGCAATGTGAATACTGTTCAATTCAAAATTTTGAATAGGAAATGCAGTTTTCCAATCCAATTGCATCCCATTGAATCTAATTGAATCCAATCGAATCCAATTAAATCCAAAAAAAGTATTCGCTATTTAAAATACGCATTCGGATAGAAAAAAAATTTCAATCTATTTTAATCCATTCTCGTTTGCTGGAAATGTAAAATTATTTTAGAAATTTCTTAATGTAATTAAAAA